AATTTTGATTTTAATTTGATTATCATTAGTTGACCAAGTAGCGATGCTAAACTAATCTACTCTACTAATCACTCTATCACTCTATACCAAGAGTGAGTGCGATTCTTTTCAAACAATAACATCTAAATATTCTATATTGATAATATATATCCATTCCTATGAGACTTAATTGAATCATAACTTTTTATATTGATTTCTACATAGATAATTAGCACCTTAATTCTATAATTATTTGCTTATCTTTAATTTTGAATTTTTAGATTGGTTGCATTTATGCCATGTAATAGAGTCAGCGACTTAATTTGTATCTACCAAATGCGATGTTTTTATATCAGGCATACCAAGAAAAATTAACACCTTAGAGACACATTTGTGATGTTTTTGTTCTGATGCGTTATTATGAGAAGGTAGATTACATTGAACATTAATATATTGAATGTGTTCACATTGCACGGGGCGACTTGAGAAAGTTGGGGATTTATATCCAGCATACTAATCTTGAAATTTAACGACTTTCTAAGATCATGCGAAGTTTCTCATGAGATTTTATTAGATAAATCGCGCATACTAATTTCAAATAATAACCCAATAGCTTAGCCACATCTGAATAGTTACTTTAGGATTCATCTTATAGGCTTACAATATTTTTCAAAATATTATGTCTTGTTCGTATGGATACCAATATCCAATGGAATACGAAATACAACTGACAACAAATTTGAATTTAATATTACATTTTTTCAAATCAAACGTAAATGAATTAATATCATGTTAAGGTTCAGATTAAATTTTAATGAATAGATCTAAATTTAATGATAGTATAGATATAGCATACTTTTAATAACAAAAATCTTAATAATCTACCGAATTGATAATCAAATAATCTTGTGATGAGTCCCGAGACTTAAAAGGTATAAAGAATATGAAAAAGCTGACTTTTTGCCAAACGAGACAGTTTGGACAGTCTGTATTCTTACAAAATGGTAAATAGTTGATAACCTCAAATATTACGCTTGTAATTTAAAAATTACAGGATGATACTCCCTAATACATTCCTTATTCTGAGAAGAGAGGATAACAAATTTCTACCAGGGAAGTGTGTTCTGAGGTGCCATCTTAATAAAATATGCCCCTCAAAAGCCAGTATCTGTCGTTTTGTGAAATAAATTTTGAAACATTTTAACACATTCTTTTTGTGTGGTTTAAATTAAGTAGCAGCAGACTTATCCATCTGAGAGATACACATATAGCTTCTAATAACATTTGGAACAATACAAAATCGTAATCGTAAACTCATTGAAATTTCTATGATCAATTGAAACCATTGGGATTATCACAAGAGGCGCGATGTATACACTTATATAGTCACTAATTCATTTTGAATATGATGGCAATAATTCCTGCAGATAATATATTATGATAAATATATAGATTTAAAGAAAAGTTCAATTACAAGACTAGATTCATATGATAATGGATAATGGAATTTACTACATAATATTGTAGTAAATGTAAGATATATCTTACGCAAAGGCGATCAGGATTCATATGATAAAAAGTGTTTATTAATGTAACTAAAGTTTCATAGCGCTAAAATCTGTTATTCATCTCCATTTATCTGCATTTATCTATGCAGCAATATATGTCAATTATATATATAATCAATTATTAGGGACATGAATTAAATTTCCTAAAAATTCCTATTTCACCAGTAAACAAATGAAATCATTCAAAACTTAAATATAACAAGTATAACATCTTTTTTGTTGTTAATATTATTAATAAAAATTAAATCAAAATTTGATAATACGTATGAGTATCTACGTCGTTTCAGTAGCATCAGTAATCCGAATCCGAATGTGTGTGTTGTCACTCAATCTCAAGCTTTTTATTTTGCTTTTGAATACTTTGAATTTATGTAAAACTGAGCGCTGAACAAGTTTTTGAATAAATATTTAAAGCCGCCAAACAGATGAGTTAGACAAACGAATTGCACCACGACCAGCATCAGCACCAGTACCAGCATCAACAACAACAACAACAACAACAACATTAACAACAACAACAACAGAATTAAGCAAAATTAATTGGTTTTATTACGCGATTATATTAAGAAGTAAATTTATTACTTTTGACTTTTTTATTTGGTTAAAATCTGATGTTTTGCTTATTTTGTATATTGTTGTGCAAATATTGTTTTAATGCATAGACAAAAACGTGAAATTAAGCCAATTTTAGATCAACAACAACAACAGCAACAACAACAACATTAATAATAATAGCTTATACAAAAATAATGTAAGCGTAGCGCTATCTGCAATAAAGTGCTTTTGAAAAGCAGCAAAGTAAAGGGTGTTCAGAGAGATCTTAGGTATGTGAATCTCTTAAGCGGGCTTTGCAGTTTCCATTTGTATTCGTTATGATAGCTTTGACATTATTATTAGCAACTCTCTGAAAATGTTCTCAGAATAATATATATTATATTATATATATATATATACCACCAAATATATATGGTAGCAAAACAATGACAGTTTATAACACAAGGTTTTTCTAATTCTATTACATATTCTAATGCAAGTGTTCCTTGAATTATTGTTTAAATTATGTGTTTTTTTCCAATAAGAACAATTTGTTACAATTTGTTTCGTATATTGAAACTTAAAACACTTCTCTTTAACCAAAACAAAAATCGATGACTCAGAAATTAATCCTTCTAATCTCTTTCTGTGACATTTCTAACTTTTACTCGTATCGTTTAGAATCCAGTTAATAAGTTATGCCTGGTCACGCTGTGCCTGTCAGTTCGACTCTAACTCAAACTTTTATAATTCAAATTTTCTATAAGTCAAACTAAATAGAGTGCAACAGGGATTAGAGAGCAAGTTACATAAAAATCTTTAACTCGCAGTCTCCATAAGTCAAACGTTTACTTTGCAAAATGGTACTTCGAATTATGGAAGTTAGATTATATTTACCTAATCAGTACAGAATATACTGTAATATTTTTTTTTAGATTAATTTCAACTACAAATACCTTACTCGTATATCTATTTATTTTCTATATACATAATACAATAGAACATAATGATTTCATTTATATCATCGTGTAAGCCCATTCTTACCTGCAAATCTATTTATTTGCTATGTACATTAAACTAAATAATTTGATTCAAATCAGATACAACCGAAGTACATTAGGACGAATGACATCCTCATGGACCTCAAGATTGATCCGATAAAAAAATGCATAAAGTATAGAGTCCTGAAATTATTTACAAAAATTGACAGGCTTACCAACACCGCGTTATCGATTCTCAGAATGGGTACAGGCTCCTCGAGGAGGTATGTAGTTCTGAGGTCTATTATTAGTCTGATGAAGCGATAAACAATAATCCAGTCAAGGCGTAGAGAGGGGTTGTGAAGAAACCTCGCAGTTGATAGAGAGTAAAAGTGCTCAAGTGCATTGACTCAACTAGCCCCACATAATAATAATAATGATAAGTAAAAACTTAACTTTGTTTTTTCATATATGAAAAATTATGTTAAATCACAATGCGACTGGTCGGATTTATCAACCATCCAATCGCAGCAATGCTTACGTATTAACACATATCACATATTTTCGGATTCTCTTCCTACAAATCATGTAAAGCCTTTGTTGAGTGATTGTGGTATTTGAAGCATTATATTTTGCGTTATATGAATTCTATATATTAATATGTGAAAAACCTAAAAGAGAACAGTTTAAAGAATATTTATAATCTATTAATTCAAATTCTTTCTATTCTGTTTATTTTTTTTTCTTCGATAGGGGGAAAACATTAAAAGCTGTGTAAATCATCACTAAAGAATAACTTTTAAGAAGTCTTAGGTCAATATACGATTAATTAACAAATACCTGTTTCAGTTATTAAGAAATACGGGAAGGTCAACAGGATGCATATATGTTACCCCGACAGCAAGTTGAATGTATTGGGAATAATGGATCTATTCACATATTTTTTATTATGAAGATTTGTCTCAGCAACCGCGTTAAAATCTGATAGTAAACTGTGCACTTTTTTGTTTAAATCAAACTTATATTATAGTATGTCTGTTAAAGCAGTTAGCAATCATAAGAGACACGTTTTATATCGTTTGGTTTGAGCAAAATAAGATAACCTTTACTTTAAATATATATAGTCCTGAAGGGATTATATACTATACACTTCCTGAGGGTATATAATTTTTGCGATCCTTTATATTAATCGTTTGCTTTGAACAAAATAAGATAACCTTTATATTAATCGTTTGCTTTGAACAAAATAAGATAACCTTTACTTTAAACATATATATGTTTATAGTCCTGAAGGTCCTGAAGGGACTATATACTATACAGTTCCTGAGGGTATATAATTTTTGCGATTCTTTACTTTAATATTTTATTAAAGCTATTGTATGTAACTCTTAAAATGGCTTCAATAACTTTGTTGGTAAGCGTAGATTGGAGAATAGTTGACACCCTGTATTTCAAGCTTGGCGTGGCCCAACTTTGCCCATCGTCCATCAATGAAACACATCGCAGTTAATACGAAATAATTTCCTTTTCTATTTTTTTCTGGTGTTGTTTTTGTCGCATCAGCACAACAACTGAGTCGTTGCAAACCAAATCAAATGCCCAAAGCGCAAATGCTTTGCTAAGCTAAGCTCAACTCAGCTCAGCTCAGCTCAGCTCAACGCAGTCCAGCTCAACTCAACGCTGTTGGCCACTTCATCATAATTGTACGTAGCTCTTAGCTGTTGGCTCTGTGCTGTGTTTGTTTTTGTTTTTGTTTTTGCTTTAGTTGTTAACTGCTAACTTGAAACTTGTACATTTAGTTAAAATAATAAAAAACAAAACAAAACAAAACAAAACAAAAATTAATAAAAAAGTCAAAAGCAAATCAAAGCCAGCATCTGTCTATATATGTTTAAGCCAAGTTGACTGCTGGCTTCTCTTGGCTGCCTGCGGAGTTTTCAGTACGGTTTAGGTGTTCGCAGAGTTTGGTTTAAAGTTTTAAGTGCGCGCTTTCCAGCCAAATCAAGTCAAAAACGTTGTGACCGTTGAATGGTTGTGTATGGAATAACTAAGAGCGAAATCGCTTGGAAGTGTGTATGGATGATTTTTATAATCGAAAAAGGATTTCAATAAAATAGTGAAAACATACAGAAAGTTTTTTCAAATATAAATTCTTTACCTTTTATATTAATTCACTAAATGCTAAATGCTAATTAAAAAATATGAATTATTAATTTATAATAAAAAATAATAATAAATTAATGTAATAATTTTTTTAAATTTTTTAGTTAAAAAAAAGTTTTTAACAAGATTTTATCACTAAACGTTGAAAGAGAATACAAGGGTCGAAGGACCTGAAAATTAAAGTGCTAACAATATGTATAAAATAAGCGATATGAGGATTTTTACATTTTTGGGTTTCGTAAGCTTTTGCTGTAAGTATAAGAAAAAAAGAAAAAAAAATTAATAAAAATAATTATTAGTTAGACTTCTTTTTTTTAAATTTTCACAAATTTTTAGTCTTAAAAATAGAAATCTTTGGTTTTATAAATAAAGGTTTCACCACATCTTATTGATTCATTGAAAGAGGATTTATTAATCTAATGAATAATAATAATATCTATCACATAATCACATAATTGTATCCTGGGTTTTTAAGGATAATGCGATATAGTGATTGTGATGTTAAATAAAATCTGTAAAATCTGTAGGTGTGGTTACGTATTACACACCATCGATGAATCGCATTGTAAAAATATAATTTGTAAAAAAGATGAATTATCAGCATTTTTGCTATTAATTTAATTATATTGTTTAAAAACTGCAAACAGTAAAGTGCATTCATGTGATATAAGGACGCATACAGCATCACTGATTGACATAATAACTATTTATTCTTGTATATCTATATACTGTCAATGCAATAAAAAGATTGATTATCATTGAAGGGATAAGGGGTAATCGGATTAGAGTGCTTCTCCAAGTTCGATTTTTTTAATGAAAGAGAGTATAGAGCCTATCTTTTCTAGACTTGAATCCTTATGATCCATGAAATATCCTCCCTGGTGTTTCTTCCGCTTGTGCATTAGTGCACAAGATCACTATCCTTATATTTAAATATATATATATATATATTTTGAATTTTACTTTGAAAACTATTTTATGAATTTGCGCATCAGTGGATGTGAATCGTAAAGGTTCCAATAAAAACCCGCTGAATCAAATTGTTTTTGGTGCTTCGTAATGAACAAAAAACTAAATATTTATAAATACTTAGCAACCTAAAATGTTCTAATTTTATTTAAGCATTGAAAGCTTGTAGAAAGCATATATGTTAAATAATTATGCAAGTCGAGGAACGTAAACTTTAGTAGAGCAACTAAAGGATGCTTTATTATAATTATAATTTATTATAATTTTTTATAAATAATTATTAGCCTCAATGGTGATAAATATGATTTGCATAATTTGCACCTAATATGTAATTATTTTTAATGACGACATATACAAATATTTAAAATACTTGCCAATATAATTTTTATATGTACTCGTAATAATAAAATATTAAATAGGTTTAGGTTTCTGCATATCTCTACTCTCACATATGAATAATGTTTGGATTCCAATTTCTGAGTAATTTGGCCGGCTTTAAAATAACTGTATAAATCTGAATATCTAATAAAAATTATAATCACATGTAATAAATATATAAGCAAGTATGTTATAAACTTAACTGTTACTCATATTGGAACTGGTTCACAAGAAAGATACGTCGACAAATGTTCAGAGGTAAAAACTAGAAGACCTTAGCATGGGTCGATTACCATAGTGATGTCTTTAACCTTTGTCTGGTATGTTTGTGCCATACAAACGTACTCGTATACGCAAAGTGGCCGCATTGTTAGTGACCGACTATAATAAATTGCCAATAGGCAACCGGCCGAATGTTTTAATTGCGGTGGGCGCATGCGCAGCCAGCTAGTATGCATTTGCATAGATTACCATCAATTATGAGTTTTTCCTTGATTCAATTTTATTAGTTTTTTTTTTTATTATTTTTGAATACATTTTTTTTATTGCTTCGAAGAAGAAACGATGTTGAATTGATGATGATGATTTGCGTGAAAGTAGGTCGGTTGGTTTGCCACTTTGCCACTTTGCCAGTTTGCCAGTTTCTTTGTTTGACTATTGGACTGTTAGATTGTTGGATTGTTGGACTGTTGCACTGATTAGACGATCTTTGGTCCATAGTAGTAACAACAGTGATTATACCTATTTTATGCATTCACAAATGTATACATTTTAACAAGTTTTTTTAGTTTTTTTTAGTAATAAATTTAGTTTTAGATTGATCATATACCTAAGTAGTTGCAGTACAAGTAATCATAGATAGTAATAATTTTTGTTTTTGCAGTTTCTATTTCTGATGATCATTATTGAAAATTTCTGTCTATCTGTCTGCCTGGTCTATCTTTCTCTTTAAAATCACTAATCTTGCCATGACATTTAAATATTGCGCCATTTCTACTTACAATTTTTAAACCTTAACATTAAAAACATGATACATATGAGTTCCTTTTAATATCTTTCGAATAAATACAATTATTTATTGTAATATTCTTATATTTAGCTAATCGAAGTTTTTAATGCAAATAGCTCTGTGCTAGTATTTGCATATAAGGTGCCTTGGGCGTTAGTAACTATTTTATTAAATCTTGATTGAATTAATGAACTTCATTTAATTATAAGGAACTAAAAATTTTTAAAATAATTGAAATAACTTAATATTGAAATTTACTTCAAGCATATTATGCAAAGTCAAATCTTACTTAAGATTAACTATATTTGCAGCTTTGATACATTTATTAAAGAAAAAGAGCAATAAAGTATATTTACTAACTATATATTGGTTTATTTCATTATTTGCATTTTTATCATTAAGTGTGAAAAAAAATTTAATACCCTAAACAGATTAGGCTACTCCAGCTCGAATTTCTCCATTTTCTTTATCAACTTTGGGTATTAGGTAGAGAGAGAGAGAGAGAAACAATCTCAATCTAGTTCTTTCAATACTAGGCAAAAAACAGACGAAGTTAATGTATAGAATCTGTAATGATAAATGTAGTGGTCCTGTAATGTTGTACCCTGTGACGATCTTGATTACTGCTCTGATATTCTTTCTCTTTGATTGCATGAAAAATATTGTTAGTTATCGTCAGGTTCTTTTATAAAACTTTACATTGTCTTGTAAGTTTTCATTTCGAACCATCATCGGATCCTCATTGACTTTATAAACAAAATGCAAGATACATTAGAAAATGTAGTGACGCTAAAAATTCGTTCTGAACCAATAGCTATCCTGCAGAGCCTTCATTAAACTCTCAAAGAATGAGTTACAAATAACTTACCACTCTCTCTGCATTGATGAGTTGCCACATTGTTTGCGTTTAATTTGTATAAAAACAAGCAAATAATGAATAATTGAGCCAAAAACTATGGAAAATTTCTTTAATTGATGTTAATAAACAAACTATTTTATTGTTTGTTTTATTAATGATTTTGATTTTAAATTTAAAAACTTGAACTGTGGGATTTTGTTAGTTTTCAAATAAATAGAAAATATTCATTTCAATTAGATATCATTTGCTTTCTCTCTTTGTTATTTCACCGTCCTAGGGAAGACTGAAATTCCATATGAAACGATGCACTGTACTTAGTTGTCGTTAACTAATGATTCCGGGATATAAATAAGCCGCTCCGAGTACATTTTTCCCATTTAATAATTATTAGTTCAATCTCACTTCTGTTTTCATATTATTATTTATTATTATTATTGTTAGGGGATGTAGCACTGCGATCGTCGGGTCTATTGTGCCCACTTCTGAGCTTAGAGTAGGTCTTTAAGCCCTGTTGCGTCAATAAAGAGTAGTATAGAACTTAATTTACAGAGTTTTATTACTTCTTCCGTAAGAATATACATTCCTAGGAGCCTATTTCGCATGTGCATTAGTGCAGGGCATTCTAACAGCACATGTGTGGCCGACTCCTCATTCTCTTCACAGAATCTACAGTTTGCATCCGTAAGTATACCCAGATTTGTAAAATACTGTTTTCATATGTACCATAGTTAAAATTTTTAGCGATTTTATTTAATCCTGAAGCAGCCTCTTTTTTTTTTAAATTATTTATACTAAAATATACAAAATTTTTATTGCGATTGTAATTATCTTATCTGGGTTTCTAAGTTTCTTATCTGATACTAAATAGATTTTTGAATTTTTAAATGTCTTTTTGTCTACAGTCTACGGTTCGTAATACAATATCATTGTTTTCTTAATATATATACATATATTTTTCAATATATGAACATTTTGATGAGAACAGGAAGTATTCTCAATGTTATTAGATGGAATAAAGAAATTGTTTAATGACACAACTGTATGTGTTGCTATAAACTCTAATTTTTCTTATTATTTTTAATTTATTTCATGACTTTTACTAATTTAATTTAATGTTCCAGTTTTCCTCAATCCAACGTGATACTTTTCAATTTTCTGCATCATATTTCCGTGCATATGTGTTGCTCACCTAGACACCTCAATTTATTTTATTTGCCAGCTATTTGGCAAAATGTAATTGAAAAAACACATAATTTCGATTCAAATTTATAGTTTTTATATAATTTTTTAACATAACTACATATATATACTTTTCTGGTTGTATATTAAAAAATATCTGATTAACTATTCAATAATTAATTTGTACAAAATAAAGCTTTCATAAGGTTTCATTTATTATTCATTGTCAATACCCTAGTTTGACAATTCGTACCGAATTTTTAAGTAGTAATAATGTGGAAATTTCATTCTACAAATATTCCATATAACCATAATGAATGCTGTGATGAGGAAGAGTATGTGAAACATCTGATCACCAACTGTGATTCACTAGGCCACAGAAGAAACAAAATTTTAGGTGCATACCAACTAGAGGATGAAGACCTTCGAAAACTCCCTCCGAAGGAGCTGGTTCGATTCCTCGAGATACTGAATGTCTAAATACATATAAAGGGTTCAACAATAGATCAAGCTGGTTGCAGTGCATAGAGGCCTTAGCCTAACTCAAAAGCACCCAATACCATATATCATCAACCATAATGAATATAATAAAATTTGATCTTTATTCGTTAATCATTCTATGTTTTTCAATATCCACGGACCTTACTTATGCAGTACAGTAAATGATAATCTGCTATCGGCACGCAAAGGTACTTAGGCTATTGAATCGAAAAATAAGAGTTGATATATATTGACATCGTTGCAATAAGGGATTCTTTCAATTTTAAAATAAGATCCGTAGTTATGCAATGAATACTACTTTATTTAGGTAAAATATTAAGATAAAAATAGTTAATATAAAAACTTGGATATTGGGA